TTTGTGGGTGTGTCTCCCACATGCCTAACTTTTGGCCATTTACTTTCTTGGTAAACTTTGCCCCAAGTTTATGGGGTCTGGCCAGAGGCACAGCAGCAATTTTGGGGTATCTGGAAGTCTGAAGGCGTCATCAGGCTGCTGATGCACTCACCTCACAGGTACAAATTGACCTGCTGGTGGCACCATACCCCAAACATGCCTTCAGTTTCAATATCATGGAGAGTTTTGCCTACACATTCTTCTGTGTGCCTTATCAATTCAGGTCTGATATCAAGGTCTTTAATCCATTTTGATTTGACTTTTGTACATAGCATTAGAAAAAGGTCTAAGTTTTGTGGGGCTTTTTTTTTTTTGCATGCAGCCATGCTTTCTCAGCACCACTAGCTGAAGAGGCTTTCCTAGCTCCACTTCATTTTTTGCTTCTTTGTCGAAGATTAACTGTTCATATGCCTGAGGGTCTCTCTCCGGATATTCACCTCGATTCCACTCATCTGAGGGTCACTTTTTATTCTAGTACCACGCTGTTTTAATTACTACCTATTTGTGGGAGAGTTTGACGTTGGGGAAAGTGATACTTGCCAATTTCTTTTTCCCAGGGATTGCTTAAGGTGTTGGGAGTGGGAGGGGAGTAAAATTTAGGAGTGTTTAATCTCTTTCTTTGAAGTATGCCATGGGTCTCCTTATGGGGACTGCATTGAGTCTGTCCAGTGCTTTGGGGAGAAGACAAGGTCTTTCTTGGTCTGTTTCTTGCCTACTTCTCTATCTTCAGTCCTTGTCATTTTTTCTGCAGTGGTTGTCCAGAGTGCTATTTCAACCAGTCGAAACTTCTTAATTCTTTGAACACAAGTGTCTCTCCTTTTTTTCTGATGCATAAGGGGGCAAGTATAGTAAATATTTCTTGTAAGTTAACTCTACAATCTTTTATATGTAGGCTCACATTTTGGAACGCTTTCCTAAATGGTCACAAATTGATCAACTCCCAATCTTATTCTTATTCCCATGGTTGAAAATACTTTTTATTCCTGACATGTCACAATTTGATTGCATATTTACACAAATACGGGATAGGATACATATGTACTTACGGCAACATAAATGCAAGGAAGGTAAAGTGTGCCCATCTCCATCACTGGTCCATATTTAAATATTTGCCGAATAACTGAATGATTAATAAGTCAAATACCACTCCAGGTTGGTAATAGTAGAAACTAGTGAACATTCTGGAAAAGGAAGACATTACTTGCTATTAGAATACAGCAAAATGAGTTTTATATGAAGACAAGATACTGGACCAGTATAGTCTACCCACATATTTTCTTTTCTTTTTTTTTTAATTTATTTTATTTATTTATTTTTTTATTTATTTATTGAATCACTGTGGGAAAGGTTACAAAGCTTTCAGGTTTATGTCTCAGTCATGCAAATATCAAACACATTTCCCTTTACCAATACTTATTTTTTACCATGAAGAACCCCAATAAAACCCCACCCCCCACCCCTCCCCGTCCCTGTGAGGCAGATGAATTCTAGTTAACACTCTATCTGCTTTGATTAGATTCATTGTTTCAATAAAAGATTCACCACTATTATTTAGAGTTTACCCCCCCCTCCAAATCAGACATGCTGAAAAAGCATTGTGAAGTGATTTGCTTTCTATGGCTGGGTTCAAGAATTAAATGTTGGTTTTGGATTTCTGCTCTTTTACCTATTGACCCTGGAAGTATTTCTACTGAAAGTCAGATAGTTAAGAAATTGGTTTCTGTGTTCTGGAGTCCTGGCCGTGCTGGAGAGCCGCTCGTGGGGGGCAACCGGTGGCCTCGGTAGGGCGTGAAGGGCGGACCGAAACGCCCCCCTTCCCATGAGATTTTAGTCGCCCCCACACTCCCGGCTCATACCTGCTGTCCACAAGGCTCCCATGTGGCCGCCATCTTTCTTTCCAGAGAGGAGAGGGCAAATGGGGCAACACCCTTTCCCCTCCGGCAGACTTGATGGGCTGGATCAATGCATAGTCCATTCACTTTTCTGCTCCAAGCTGCTGGGTTCTGCATTAAGTCCTTGTGCTTCTGGGGCCGTGGCTGTGCTGGAGAGCCGCTCGTGGGGGGCAACTGGTGACCTCGGTAGGGCGTGAAGGACGGACCAGAACGCCCCCCTTCCCATGAGGTTTTAGTCGCCCCCACACCCCCGGCTCATACCTGCTGTCCACAAGGCCCCCATGTGGCCGCCATCTTTCTTTCCAGAGGGAGGAGGGCGGAAGGGAGCAACACCCTTTCCCCTCTGGGCAGAAATGATTGCCTGGATTAACGCATAGTTCTTTCACTTTTCTGCTCCAAGCTGCTGGGTTCTGCATTAAGTCTTTGTGCTTCTGGGGCTGTGGTCGTGCTGGAGAGCCGCTCATGGGGGGCAACTGGTGACCTCGGTAGGGCGTGAAGGACGGACCGGAACGCCCCCCTTCCCATGAGGTTTTAGTCGCCCCCATACTCCCGGCTCATACCTGCTGTCCACAAGGCTCCCATGTGGCCGCCATCTTTCTTTCCAGAGAGGAGAGGGCGATTGGGGCAACACCCTTTCCCCTCCGGCAGACTTGATGGGCTGGATCAACGCATAGTCCGTTCACTTTTCTGCTCCAAGCTGCTGGGTTCTGCATTAAGTCCTTGTGCTTCTGGGGCTGTGGCCGTGCTGGAGAGCCGCTCGTGGGGGGCAACTGGTGACCTCGGTAGGGCGTGAAGGACGGACCGGAACGCCCCCCTTCCCATGAGGTTTTAGTCGCCCCCACACCCCCGGCTCATACCTGCTGTCCACATGGCTCCCATGCGGCCGCCATCCTTCTTTCCAGAGAAGAGAGGGCGAATGGGGCAACACCCTTTCCCCTTGGGGCAGAAATGATGGCCTGGGTTAACTCATCGTCCGTTCACTCTTCTGCTCTAAGCTGCTGGTTTCTGCATTAAGTCCTTGTGTTTCTGGGGCTGTGGCCATGCTCCAAACTTAACTCTGATTTTCAGGGAGAAAGATTGGGTGGTTTACTTCTCATTGATCACTTTGTATATAGAGAGATGTCCTCGTTCCCGCATACTCGAGCTGTGTTTGTAGAGGCTTCTGGTCACCAGGGTTCCATCTGGGGGAGGCGGGATGCGGCGCCTACTCCATCTGGAACTTGCGGGTGCTCTCGGCTCTTTTTGGAACCTGTTTTTTCTTTTTTCTTTTCCTCCGGGATCCCGCACCCTCCATGTGTTCCTTCTCTTATTCTGAACGCTTCAAAGATGGCGCTGGGGGGCGGGCTGTGGGCGTGACTTCCGGAATCAGAGGTTACCTGGGAGGTGTAGTCCGGCAGATTTGAGAAAAAGTCCTCGTTCCCGCATACTCGAGCTGTGTTTGTAGAGGCTTCTGGTCACCAGGGTTCCATCTGGGGGAGGCGGGATGTGGCGCCTACTCGATCTGGAACTTGCCGGTGCTCTCGGCTCTTTTTGGAACCTGTTTTTTCTTTTTTCTTTTCCTCCGGGATCCCGCACCCTCCATGTGTTCCTTCTCTTATTCTGAACGCTTAAAAGATGGCGCTGGGGGGCGGGCTGTGGGCGTGACTTCCGGAATCAGAGGTTACCTGGGAGGTGTAGTCCGGCAGATTTGAGAAAAAGTCCTCGTTCCCGCATACTCGAGCTGTGTTTGTAGAGGCTTCTGGTCACCAGGGTTCCATCTGGGGGAGGCGGGATGCGGTGCCTACTCCATCTGGAACTTGCCGGTGCTCTCGGCTCTTTTTGGAACCTGTTTTTTCTTTTTTCTTTTCCTCCGGGATCCCGCACCCTCCATGTGTTCCTTCTCTTATTCTGAACGCTTCAAAGATGGCGCTGGGGGGCGGGCTGTGGGCGTGACTTCCGGAATCAGAGGTTACCTGGGAGGTGTAGTCCGGCAGATTTGAGAAAAAGTCCTCGTTCCCGCATACTCGAGCTGTGTTTGTAGAGGCTTCTGGTCACCAGGGTTCCATCTGGGGGAGGCGGATTGCGGCGCCTGCTCCATCTGGAACTTGCGGGTGCTCTCGGCTCATTTTGGAACCTGTTTTTTCTTTTTTCTTTTCCTCCGGGATCCCGCACCCTCCATGTGTTCCTTCTCTTATTCTGAACGCTCCACATATTTTCTTTTAGATCACAAACTAATCCTAAGTCATGACAGCACTGAATTGTAATGGTTGGACATATGGAGTGGGAGACAGAAATCACATTTGGAAAATTTTAAATTGTGGAAGCCACTAAAAGAGCTCTTAAAGTCACCAGAAGTAAATAACAAGATAATAAAATTCAATATTTTGTTATTTAATTTTAATTAATAGTTATGTGTTATTTCAGTTATTAATTTTTATTACTGTGACAAGAGTGAGATAATAGGGATAAAAGTCACTGTCACTGTCTTCCCAGTGTTCATCAGTTTGCTCGAGCGGGCCCAGTAATGTCTCCATTGTGAGACTTGTTACTGTGTTTGGTATATCAAATACATTACGGGTAGCCGTGCGGGTGAGATACTCTCAGTAGCTTGCCTAGCTCCCTGAGAGGGACGGAGGAACCGAACCTGGGTCAGCCGGGTCAGCCGAGTGCAAGGCAAATGCCCTATTGCTGTGTTATCACTCCAGCTAGGGATAAAAGCACATTTTACAAAATGGAGTTAGTTTTTCCCAGAGTGGAAATCTTCTATTTTAGAATTTCTTTAGTTTTTGTATTCACAATTTTTTTTTGCATTCACAATTATAATAAAGCAGTTCTGAAAAAAGAGGGTCATTGGCAAAGTCCAGTATTTCAGGACTATTGTATTTTGGTTCTGCGTGACCAGGGACAATGCTGGTTTCACTCTTCATCCCTCACATGCAGTGCTTCTAGTGACCAGAGATTGCTTTTGAGTAAATCATAGAGTAATTTGTCATGAAAGCCTTTGTGGTTGGCATTCTGGACTTTCTTTGCCTTTCAGGCATTTCTTAGAAAGTCATGATTTTGTAATCTCTTTATTTTTCTGTATTTCAGCTGTGGCCGAGGTAAAACTGCGTGATGATCAGTATACACTGGAGCACATGCATGCTTTTGGAATGTACAATTACCTGCACTGTGATTCCTGGTATCAAGATAGTGTCTACTACATTGATAACCTTGGAAGAATTATGAATTTAACTGTGATGCTGGTAAGGAAAAAATACATAGTACTTACATTTTCCAGTAGATTTGAACCTTAGTTTTCCCTTTGATAGAAGAATCAATATCCTGAGGATTAGAGTACACATTCCTTTAACAAATGGAAACCTGTCATTGGGGTATATAAAAACTTTATTTGTTTAATTCTATTTTTTTCCCTTTTTTAAAACTTATATATGTATTTCCCTCAACTCCTTGTATTGCGTTATATGGTTTCGTGTATATACATGTATTATATATTTTATATATATTCGTGTGTAAAATACCAGTGTCATTGTGACTGTTCATGCCTCCTTTTCCAGTTGTTATGCCCAACTATGATTGTGGGTTTTTTTCCCCCACATAAATTTTGTTACATATATAACTATGTTAATTGGTTACAAATACAGAGAATTGTTATTTTCTTTTGTGGATCAGTATATTTAGCATTTTGAAGTGTCCTTCTTTATTTTTAGTCCTTGAAACCATCCTCTACCAGTAGAGTGCTTTTGACTTTTATTTTTCTTAGTGCAGTATTGTTTTCATCCTTTTCCTTTGGTTTATCAATGTTTTTTATTTTTAATGTGCCTTATGAAAAGAATAAATTGGTCCTTTTAAATCAAGTGGGACAATCTTTATCTTTTCATTGGAGGGATTAGAACATTTATATTTCATGTAATTAGCGATACAGTTTTTATGTTATTGTCATACAGTTCTTTTTAGATTGTCCAATATGTTCCTTTGTGTTTTTTTTTTGTATTTTTTTCTGAGCTAATGGGTTTTCAGTTTTCTCTTTGAATATTCTTTTTTTGTGTATATATGGGAGGGTTGTTGGGGTTGTAAGCCCACACTCAACGATGCTTAGGGGTCTCTCCTTGTGGGCTCAAGGGACCATGCGGAATGCCTCAGATCAAACTGAAAACTTGGTTCAGCCGCTTGCAAGATAAGCGCCTAGATAAGCGCCTATCTGCTATACTTTTTCTCTGGCCCCTGACTATTCTTATTTCTTCCTGAATTTTTATTTAAATGTGTTATTTTTAATGGTTAAAAGTTATAGGGTTTATTGTTGTAGACTCCATAATTTGAGTTAATATGTTAGTTTTGGATAGTCGATAGGTAATAGCTCCCTAAGTACTTTGATCCTCTAAACCCCCATTATATTGCATCCTTAGAATCTATCTACTTTGCTTGTGAAATTTTACTACTTTTCACGTAAGTTCTTGTAATACTTCCTTTATTGCAAAATTTGTTTTTTAAAAACAAGCAATGTTTTAAAATGTTGCTGTTTATTAAATTTTTTAATGTAAACAAAAGCCACAGCAGTTGTTACAGGTCTACCGTTGACAATGATTAGATAACAAAGTTCCCATATTAAAATCAATAAGTTTAAAATAAATCTTTTTTTTTCTTTCCAAATTGTTTTATCTCACCACGGGTATGTTAAGTCCTTGTCTAAGAATTTACTGAGCTGTTTGCTAGCTGGACCTTCTGTGTTCCTTTTGTCTTTTGAGTTAGGTGTTAGCACCTAATTGAGCGTGCTCCTGTAATTTCAGCTTTGAGGAATTTGGAGGTGCAGAGACTTTAGGATCTGTAGTCTGGGCCAATGAATTGACACGGTGGCCACTGTGGGAGGTGGGCTTGGAATGCAGTTTTAAGAGATGCGCTGCATCCATGTGATCTAAAATAGGAAATTTAAGTCACATCTCTTAAAGAAGTCTCACCTTTGGTCTTTCCTGTGATCAGTCCCCGCATTACCTGGTCTGCTTCTTTGTAGTTGCTTCTTTTGTGTTGGCCAAGGGGTGCAAGCCTGCCACCCTAGTGCCAGAACCTGGTAATGCAGCACCGCCCTAGCCTGGCTGGGTCATTCTCGGGGCTACACGTAAATTCTTCCTCTTGAATTATCTCCTGGCCATGTGTATGTATTCTCAAAATACAGACTCTTCAAATTGACCTACGTTCTCCTCCCCTCCCCTCCCCTCCCCTCCCCTCCACTCCCCTCCCCTCCACTCCCCTCCCTCTCTCTCTCCCTCTAGCCCCACCCCTCTCCTTGTATTTCTCCCTCCAAATTTTTTTTTACCACTTCGCATGCATATCATATCCTTATGTCTGTATACATATACTTCTCAAGTACTTTTGCAATACCAAACTTGTTGTTCTAGAGGTTTCCCCATATCCTTTTCCCCTAGCCCTTTCATGTTCTCACAATTTATTGTCAAAGTCCTTTTCAATTAAAGTCACTCAGTAAGTCCTCTTGGAAACTTGTACCACCTCCCCTACCTCTCACCCCTACACACACACACACACACACACACACACACACACACACACACACACACAGTTCTTCCTTTGCTCTCTAAGAAATATTTAATCCAATGATGCTCAGAGAATATGAGAATATGAGAATAACCGGTACATTCCATCTAGGTCAGGGGTTAGCAAGCCTTTTCTGCAAAGGGCCTAATAACAGATTATTGCTGCTCATTCACTGTCACTGTAAGACAACAGTAATCAACATGTAAAAACAACTTAGTGTGACTGCATTCCAGGAAGATTTAATTGACAGAAGCAGACAAGGGGCCGGATTTTGTTCATGAACAGTACTTTTCTGACCTTTGAACTCAGCCATGAGTCTCTCTTATATTTTTTGTACTTGTAGTTCCCAGCTGTAGATTTTGTCAGTGCGTTTGTTGAATGCACAGCAGCTATTTAAAATTTGAATTGACTTTTTGGAATTTGTTTTGCATTTTTTATTTTGAGGGGCTGGGGGATCTGTACCAGCTGGGCCAAGTTTCAGTGTGCATGCCCCAGATGCAGGGCTATTTGGCCCTGGGTACTGGGGTTTCCTGGGTTACCCAGGGGTTGGCTCAGGGGAGCTCTAATGCCATGCCCAGGACTGCCCCCAATGATGCTGAGGGGACCAAACCTGGGTCAGCCACATGCACACAATGTGCCTTAATCCTGACCATCTCTCCAGCCCTGTTGTGGGTAGGATCTCCTTCTTTCTAATATTTCCTAGGTGTATATAGGAATCTTTGGTTTGAAGTAATTTAATTTTGAGATAGTTCAATAGCTCGCAAGTTTGGAGCACATGATTTGTATGTGGAAGGCCCCAAGTTCAATTTGGCAGTGCGTGGCCCCCAGGTACCTTTGGGTGTGACTGCAGTACCCCCTGTGTACTGCTGCTCTGAGCGAAGCGTGAGAGTAGCCCTGTGTCCTTCACGCAGCTCAGGAGTTCCCTATTACTGAAAAAACGCGTGCATACACATGCGCATGTGTGTTTTAAACACTCTTGACTGCTTGGTAACTACATATACAAATTGGTGGATGATTTGTAGCAATGGAAGTTGGGATGAATGCTGCATGTGAACAGGGAAGATAACAGTGATGCATGCATGGATACTGCATTATCCACCCTCAACTGTACATACCTGTAATCTGCATCAGCATAGTTTGTACTTGATTTTCTGTTCTTTTAACTTTAAGGGCCTAAAACATTTTTTTGTTTGTTTTGTTTCGTTATGATTTGAGGCCATACCTGAGGTGCTCCAGGATTACTCCTCGTTCTGCACTAAGGAATCATTCCTGGCAGACTCGGGACTATAAGGGATGCTGGGGATTGAACCTGGGCAGGTGTGATCCATATCATTGAGTTCGTTGTTTATTTATTTATTTTTTTAATTGAGGCAATATTTGCTCTAGAAGAGTAAATGCTTGTTTTTATGGGTCCTATGTTACCACACCGTCCCCAACATCCAAGAGCCAGTTATTCATCACAGTTCATTGGACCCATCAGACCCACCTTGGGAGCCTTGGTTCTGTGATCTCAGAGTCATTGAACATTGCCTCCCCTTAATTTGTTACTTTATATACAACATAGAGTGAGATTGTATGGTGTCTGGTTTTTGCCTTACTTATGTGACTTAGCATTATACCCTGCAGTGTCATCCATTGTTGTAGCAAAAGATGAACTTTCATCTTTTTTTATATCTGGGTAGTATTCTATTGTGTATTTGTACATCTCTATTGGGCTGGAGTGATAGCACAACGTGTAGGGCGTTTGCCTTGCGTGTGGCCGATCCAGGTTTGATTTCTCCGTCTCTCTTGGAGAGCCCAGCAAGCTACCGAGAGTATCCCACCCGCATGGCAGAGTCTGGCAAGTTCTCTGTGGCATATTCGATATGCTAAAAACAGTAACAACAAGTCTCACAATGGAGACGTTTCTGGTGCCTGCTCGAGCAAATAGATGAACAATGGGGGACAGTGTTACTACAGGATGGTGCTATTGTGTATACATACCACATCTTTATCCACTTATCTGCTCTTGGGCATTTTGGTTATTTCTCGGTAGCATTATTGTAAATAGCAGTATCACTTAATCACTTAATCACTTAACTTCCCGTTAGTCGTCGATTTGCTCGAGCGGGCGCCAGTAATGTCTCCATTTGTCCCTGTTGCCTGCTAGTGTAGCCCAATGGCATCTGTTCGCTCTGGGAACATGAAGAGCCTCAAACCGATTGTTCATGATCTTGATTAAGAAGGCTGACCATCGGGTAGGTGGGCGGCTACACTTTCTTTTGACATCCCGTGGAATCCAGTCAGTAACAGCTCTAGTCCGGCGGTCCTCTTTAAATCTCATTACATGACCAGCCCATCTGATTTTTGACACCTTGGCAAATGAGACAGCGTCCCTGATTCTTGATCGTCGACGGATGTCGGAACTCAAGATTCTTTCTCTCATTTGAGTGAAACGTGATATTCCAAGCATAGCTCTTTCAATTCTTCTTTGGGAGACCTGAATAGCGTTCTCATCCTGTTTGCAGAGGGCCCAGGTCTCTGAGGCATATGTTAATGCAGGAAGAACAGTGGAATCAAAGAGATGTGCCCGGAGCCGGAGGTTCTTCGTCCTCTTAGCTATTTCTTCGACGTTCTTAAAGGCGTTACAAGCCGCTCTCTTCCTCCTGCGTAGCTCAGGTGCCAGGTCATTTGTCATGTTGACCTCTCGACCTAGGTA